AAACCTCTTACATTTCTAACTATAGTTTAAAAACGGTAGCTGCTTTCAGTAAAATGTCAACGTGTGTGTGCGTGTGCGTGTGCGTGCGTGTGCGTGTGTTGTTGTGTGTGTGTGTGTGTGTGTGTGTGTGTGTGTGTGTGTGTGTGTGTGTGTGTGTGTGTGTGTGTGTGAGATTAAGTGAGTGAGAGATTAGAAATGACTTGTCTTCAGGCTGAGTATATTTGTCTTGAGTCACTGCAGTGTACACAGATCTCTGTTTAAAAATACTCTGGTAGAAGTACTGACTGTTCACTCAAGTAAAAGTAAAGAAGTATTTGTACTCCACTACTTCCCTCCTCTGGTTGTAAATGTGGTTTTTGTTTACGTGTTTCCTCAGCGTTGTTCCGGGCGGCGGCCGAGGCGTCTCCTCGTCACGTCTTGCAGATGTTGGCCTCTGACGGACACCGGATGAACATTTCGCCCAAAATGCAGGCCAACGACCCGGAGAGCGTGTACCGCCTGGAGCTGGTGGCTGCGGATCATGATAATGATTATGATAATGATTGTTTTTCTGCAGGTGTGGGGATGCCACAGGAGCTGGACTCCATGGAGGACAGGTGTGTGTATCATGTGATTCATTCAGTGTATGTGTGTGTGTGTGTGTGTGAGAAAGGGCTCACCTTGTTTCCTGTGTGCGTGTGCGTGTGCGTGTGTGTGTGTGTGTAGGCTGCAGCATCTGGAGAGCAGAGTGATGGAGGAGGTGGGGGGGGAGCTCCTCTGTGATCTGAAGAAGCAGGTGGAGTCCTTCAAGAAGAAGCTGGAGGTCTGAAGCTTTTGACACACACACACACACACACACACACACACTAAATACATTTAAATAAAAAGCATTTCCATAACGTCACTAATACAAAGCAGCATTTATTGAGCCATTCACGGTATCAGATTAGATCAGTTTCTAACACCTCACTAGTTTACAGAAATAGGGGTCAGGCTGCTTCATTAAACATTAAACTAACTTATTAAAGACATGAATGATTAATAAGAGGAGCAAAAGCAAGGCTTCACAGGCAGAAACATGTTTCTTTTAGTGATGCACTCATTTTGAGAGCTTTTGGTCATTAAAGTGTGTTATTTGCTGTGTGTGTCCTGCAGAGTGTGGAGCACCTGAGCTGGATGGGCCTCTTTAAGGAGCACGGACACCAGGAGCTCTCCCAGAAACCCAAAGGCCTGGAGCTGAGCGAGCACGAGGAGCGGCTGCAGGTGCGCAGGAAGTACCTGAACATGAGGTGAGTCGTGTATAGTATTTATTTAATTGCATTATATGTGGCGTAGAAAAGCACAGATTGGTGTCCCCTCTGTGTTGCCGTAGCTCGCTGCAGGTGACAGAAGAAGTGCGTGAGCATCTGAAAACTCCCATCTTTGACAACTGGTGAGTAAAATGTGTGTTTTATGACCAGCTCCAATAAAATGTTAGAGTTTTCAGTGCCCTCTTGTGGCCACAGTGCGTTATTACACCCCTTTATTTCTGAAAGAGTCAACCAGAAGTACCGTGTGTCTAACTCAGTGGTGCTCAGAGGCATGCCAGGGGGGGGCGCGAGTCAGACTGAGAGCCTCAGTGAGCTAAAGGACTCTCTCAGTGTTATCTCAGTGGGTCTCAAATGTTTTGGTCACCATTTATATAAACAATTATTTCCGAGGCACACGTTTATATGATCATTATAGTTAAAAAAATAAGAGAATAAATGAAAAACAGGTATGAAATACTAATCACAATATGACAGTAAAACAAGAAGACAGTGGTAAAAGGAGAGTGATTTGTAAAATATCCATAAAGAAAAAGTAAATCTGTTTACAGTTCTGTTTCATATGGGTGTTGAGAGATGTATCCATAGATCTCTTCATTTTGCTCTCAAAGTGAACCAGACTGATGCTTTTAACTTCAATATTTAAAATAAATGCCCCCGGAGCCCCCTAGAGGAGGTGAAGTCCACCCCCCACTTAAAAAAAGTAGCACTTTTCCCCTGCTTACCGTGCCGTGAACTGATTATTGAGTCTTCATTGCAACAGTCGTGGGTATACTGTGTGTGTGTGTGGGGAGTCTTGCAGTAGAAAATTCCACTGTAGCACCCTGGTACACTAATGGGAAACCTTACATGTTTGAGCACCCTCTATGAAACGTCAACCTACCCCACAGCACCCCCAAAAGAAAATCTCTGGCGCCGCCACATGCACATGACGGTTTTGTCCGCCCTCCCATGAAAATCATATGCCCTCCGGGTCTGGACAAAGACAGTCTAGTTTTTCCCCTGTTCTTATGCTACCTGACCTAAGCTAAGCTAAATGTTTCATAGCGCTACATGTTAGTGGTGTCAATTTCTGCAGATATTTCCCAAAATGTCAAGCAATTCCTTTTACAGAGCTATATTTTGCTGAGTAGTAAGAAACAATAACAAAATGTGGGCAAAGATAGGCTAGCTTTTTCCCTGTTCTCACTATAACTAACCTAAGCTATATGTCAGCTATATGCAAGTGTTAGCCAGTGTATGCTAATATTCAACTGCAGTCCTCTGGTGAGATGTTCTGAATCCAATAAGGTTAGGTTTAACAACTGCATCAATAAAGTGTATCTATCACCTCCCTTATACTGTAGAAAACAGGTAATAAAACAGATAATGGTTTAAGATGTTAAACACCTGTGAACGTGCATTATATCAGAAATGCAACAGGCATGTACATTTTCCAAACAAACCGGAACCGCCTTAATCTAAAACTACAGTGTGTAAATTACAATAGATGAAATGTAGCTGTGACCATGGTAGAATTTTATATTACTGTAAAAGCAGACATGCACACAGTAAAATATGTTCCAAATTATTATCCTGGCAAGTGATTAGCTGCGCCCACCTCTATCATACTCTTCTTTAATGGTTTTTCCAGCAGCAAAAGGCTGGCTAGAAAGCGTTTCATGACTGTCTGATGAGTAAAAGGGGCTGTTCTCACAGCCAACATCATAGGAAAATGTTCTCACATCTTTAAACATGTGCTCACAGTGCAGGACATGGTGTATTATATAGGCTACACATCAGTGGCAGAAGCTAATGATGACATAGATTAGTTATTAAACAAAGGCATGATTCCATGATGGGTGCCAATGGGAGACTAGTGTGCACATCTTCTCACACTTTTCTTATCATGTTGTCCACTGGCTTTCTGCTCCCCTATATTTGGTGATAATGCAGATATATTGAGAAATACAGGGAATTAAAAGGGAATCTTTGTTTTATTTAGTTTTTTTTACCATTTCTTCTTACTTAATTGGATCACTTTTATAATGCTGACTTTTGATTATCATGAAAGGAAATCACTTCCTTACCTGGGCGTCTGATATGGACACACGTTTGGACTCCACGCATGGCCTGCGAGCCACACGAGGGGAAATGTGCGTGTACCCTCCTCTTGACGACATGTAGGTGCCTCTCTCCTGCAGCGATAACTTCCTTCCGGTCAAGTAAGGTCGCAAAGCATGGGTCCTCTTGGCCTGAGCCCCCTCCTGCTGAGCCACGCCGTTCCTGACGCCGTTGGGAGCAGAGCCATCAGAGTCTCTTGTGGTCATGGCACTCATGATGTCGGTGAGACTGCTGGTCTGTTTGTCAGAGTCGGGGTCCAGCCGCTCACGGCCAGGGTCACTGCTCGTAGCCATGGTGGGTGGGCCGGGAGGTGGGGGCAGCGCTGGAGCAGGTGGCTGGGACAGTACCGGGGAGCGCCCACCAGCATCAACGTGACCTGGGCCGGCCTCCGGTCGCAATGCTCACCCTCCCACCGGAGCTGGGGACACAGAAGGAGAGGTTGTGAGTTGATAAAGAATATTTCCACATTTGAATCAAGAAAAATAACTTGTCATCCTTTTTTTAAATTATTGTTAAAGAAATTGACAGATCTAATATTGTTTTTTGTGCCTAAAATTACAACAACACAGCCATGCTCTGTAAGAACATACATGCTCTGAGCTAAATGCTAATGTCTATATGCGGATATCCAGCAGGTATTACATTTAATTCCTGTGGTTCAAGCAAGAGGGCGAGGGGTCATTTCACTGAATTGAAGCAGTATAATTTAACTGTTCAAGCCCAATAACTTTTGCCTTAACTGACTCGTATTTCCACAATATAAGCATGTTTCTTTTCCAGAATTGTCTCGCATCTATTTTCTGCTCGTCACCCACAAAATATGTGGTAAACCTTTCATTTCAATACCAGATGTTTTGCTGGCTACATTTTGCGGAGAAAGAACCTGTGAGACTGAAGTTTAATCAACCAAAAGTCCTTCCGCCTCTGTGTGGGTGGTCTTGAGGGTCAAGTTACTTGGACATGCACTCATAAATTGAAATTAATGTCCCCGCTGATAAAACCCAACCCAAATGCTGCAAGGCTTAGTGTGCTTTATGCCTTTGTGCATGGCTCCCTCTGCTTGCTTATGAAATGCTTGTGGGTGGACTGGCATACAAAGAAATGCAAACACAAAAAAACACTGCGTGTATGTAACCAGACCTTTAAGCAGGATTTGTTTAATGTGCTTTTTCTCTTTCATCTGTAATGAAAATCTAGTCAGAGGCAGATTGCCACATAAAGGGTATATGTGGCACCCCTGGGATGTGTGACCACATTAATATAATTATTATTATTATTTAGAGTTAGAACATGCATTTATTTTGTACATCTGTTATTTTCATGTCATTAACGGGGTTGATAGATGCAGTGAGTGGTGAGGCGGAACGTTTGTGTTTGATTCAATGGTTCCGGGGTACCGATTAAAGCGACGGACGTTCCCGGGGTTTCCTCAGAAGTAATCTGGAAGGAAACCGAACACAACGTGTCCTCATTACTTCTGTTTCACCTGCACCATACAGGTTGGTAAACTGTGCATAAATCACAATGAATCCCCCATAAGGTTTGCAAAGATAATATGTAATGGCCCGCTAACAGTTGAAGACTTTGTAGCGCTGTTTACATGTGTAAAACTGTTATATAGTGTGTGTGTATTAGCCTAGCTTCCCCGGTACGGCGCCATTTTGGGGGACAACGTGATCTGACGCAGTAAGGAAACAAGTTTGTCAGTATATCTGAAGGCTCCCACACACTGAGTATTTACATGCATGTATAGTGATTGTGAGTTTGTAATAAATATGTACTTTGTAAGGGTTATAAGTTAGTTACTGTTGATAAAAGAGTAAGGTTGTTTGTTACACTTAAATATGTTTTAGTAATGCATTTTACCGTTACACACTTGACCCAGAAAATATTTTATAGCGACCTGATTTTGTGCTCTCATCCGAAAGAGAATACAGGGTGTTGGTCTGAAAAAAGAAACCGAGAAAGAGCTGACTGACGTCGAGAAGGTTATAAGAATTGAGTGGCTACCTAGCGAGTCAAGTCGTTGCCACGGTGCAAGACGAGGTCGAATGTCAGAGACGAGGCGTAGGTCGAGAACCATACCAGGATCTTATAAATTACCCTAGCCGGGAAGGGCTGGTCCATCCACCGCGGCTAGGGCCTGCTCGGGGGGTTCTTTGACAAGCCAGGGTTATACTCCTTGGTGTCATTGTCACTACTATGGACATCCCACGTCCACTTTGCTCTTCATTAACTCCTGTCGCAACACAAGCCAAAAGGGAAGGTCTTAATGACGAGCCGCCAACAAAGTAATGTGTTTTAGTATATTGTATAATTGAATAGAATATGTAAATTCAAAGCTGAATGTAAGGAACTATTGGTAGATGCTATGGAGTGAGACTTTTGAACCATCAATAAGACGAAAAAACAACTACCCATTGTGTCGTGTTATATATATCCACTCTAAACTCCCTACAAAGTTTGTAAGTGTTGTGCAACAACCTCGGCGCCGATTGTGAGAAGTAAAAGACGATATAATATTTTTAAAGGGACAGTCACTAAATGTGAAGGACATAAACAAGATGTAGTGATGAGGAAGAATAGTTGAATAGTGAATTGTAATCAATCATGTATGACAAAAGTAACTGGAGAGATTTTGGACTAGTATTGGTTTCTCAACCGGGGGAACTGATAAGGGTTTTGGTGGTGAAGCACGAGTAAATTAAACCATCCNCACCTCATCGGTTTATAGAGCTCCTGTTCGTTCATGTTTTCAATGGACGAGAGTGAAAATGGAAAGAAAAACGCTATTTGTTGTTTGTTTATATCACGGTCCGTGATATAAACAAACAACAAATAGCGTTTTTCTTTCCATTTTCACTCTCGTCCATTGAAAACATGAACGAACAGGAGCTCTATAAACCGATGAGGTGAAATAGCCTTCCGTGTGTGTTCCATCTTCCATTTTAAATCATTTGTTTACCTCCCTCACTTCCGTTAACGCTTCTGATGCACTGATTCGCTAGCTGAACAGCCAATCAGTGTTATCCCTTTGTCCGACTTCCGGTGGTGTACCCGACGCCGATTCAACATGTTGAATCGGCAAGAAAAGGCGTCAGGTCGGCAGAAAAGACCCGACGGTGCGGCGCACACCACTCCGAATAGGGCGTGCCCACGCTCATGTTCGGCCCGACTCCCATTTACTGCCGATTTCGGGCCGGTGTATCTGGGCCTTTAGAGTTTTACTTGCTACAGGTTGTACTTTGAAGGTTTGTGACTTTGTGACCGTTTACATGCATAAAAACCTTCATAACACACAAGGGGACGGGTAATAACCAGAAAAGCATGCCATGGGACCTTTAAACTAGCTACTCAGATCCCAAAAAACAAACAGACAAACATTAGGGTTTACGACATTTGAGGTAGACCTCCACCAATGCCATTTCTCTTTTAATAGATTCTTCCTTGGTCCATGCTGAACCCTAACATTAAGTTTAATAAAATAAATATGGGTCAGTGTTTTACCTTCAACCTTGCTGAAAAACAGACAAACCAGCAAATCTAACCAAAAACATAACCACCTTGGGGGCAGTAATAATTCATTTGTATTATGTAAGGCTTCAATTGAGTTATTTTCCTTTAGATTAAGGTGCTGACCATTTTCCTTATACCTGTCCCAAAGTGGGGAACTTTGCAATTTTTTGTCTATAAAATGTCCTCCATTCTTGTTTCTTTGAGTCTAAGATGATATCTTACTGTGATGTTCAGTCTGACCAACAGTCTTAAAGTATTCACGTAACAATTCTTCACATCAGAGAAAAATCTTCATATTGGTAGGGCTGAAATCTGCTTTTATGGGGCATTGATGCTCTAAAAAATTATTATTATTACCTCTTTTTTGGCATTAGTCACCAAATATTTTCTCCATCTGTCATCCCAACAGCCTTTGTTGTGATTCCTCTGTCGTCCTCTGCCTGTGACCTTTCCATGAAACAACTAACACAGCCTCAAGTATGATTTAGTTTCTGAGCTACTTGGTTTACAAATAAAAATGTAACCACCACTAGCACATTAAGGAACCTGCTCCAAAGAGATAAGAACAATTAACATTTAGTTTTAAATGCTGTGAGAGACAGATACGCCAAGGGGAAGTGCTGTTCATCCTCTTTTGCTTTGACAATTCTTCTAAAATACAGTTCAGAAAAAAGCTCACACTTCAGCTGGCATAGAAAGCTTTTATGTATCTAACATCAAAGGTCAAACTAAGAAACAGAGGAAATACGTTCATAAGTAAGCTCATTATTGAATGTCTTGTCACACACAATACACGTCTAATATTCGTGGACAATCTTTCACGGTAAGCCTTGAACACAATTTTGTTAGTCATGTTGCTGTATTTGACATCTGCACTCTAAGCTGCACCTGCAGTCTGGTCACACACACACACACACACACACACACACCATGTATACATCACTTCACGGGACATTACATTGACTTACATGCATTTCCTGGAGACTTATCCTAACCTTAACCATAACCAACACAGGCCTAACCCTAACCAAGTCTTCACCCTAAAATTAA